TTCCCTACATTATTCTATGAAGCAAAGGACAATAAAGGGGAAAAACTTGGTTTATATATTCCATTGGTGATATTTCAATTTGGTTTGGGAAACAATATTGCAAAGGGTGGGAGGAGGGAATCAACCGTATTGTTGGTAGAATTAATTTTGCACGTGATGACTCTGGTTCGTGACTATAACATTTCTTAGACATGTTAATCTGTGCCACTGAAGTATCTGAGTTATTGCTGTCTGAAGTTGCGGGAGACAAAAGGTATGCTTGTGATCTTCACCATGTTGAGTCAGACTTAACTTCTGAGAAATTTGGTTTTTATATATATAAATATATATGTGGAAATTGAGAAGCATAATTTTACGTCAAGTTATCTATCATTTGTATCATACAGTCAATACTATATTATATTAATTACCGTCCCTTGTAGCAGTTGCAGATATATTGCTAGCTAGCTAGAGAATTGAGTATTCTACTGTAGATATATATATTTTGTTCCCTTTTTCAATTTCCTTTTACCTTGGATGGTTAACGGAGGAAATTCTTATGATCTTAACCTATGTCAAAGAACCAAAGAACTCATATCAAGATACATTCACCTTGGAGAAGAAAAAAGATGAACTAGGAATTTAATGTCAGATTCTTACATTCACCGCATAAAAAATTTGATCAGCTGAACCAGTGTTAAGACATTCTCATTTTATGTTTTATGGGATTGGAATATATGATGTGACTCATGATCGGTATAATGGATCTCCCATCTTCGATCGATTTCTTTAAATGTTATATATGTTAATTGCACTCGCCGACACATTCTAGATGTTCTTTTCTCTCGTTAATTAAGATGGAATTGATTATAGTTTCATAATTAACACTGAAATATTGATCCCAAATAACCAACAACATATATATTTAAATCACATTTAGTTTTATAAAATGATCTTAATGTTTGTTTTATTAATAATTATAAAATTGTCATTTATTATTTCATATTTACACTTAATTTTCATTTATAAATAATTAATGTTTTTTTAATAGTATTTTTACATTTTTAAAAATAAAATAAAAATAAAGTGATATTTTATGGCTATTAAGAAAAATATATGATACAAATAAAATTTTATTTTTTATACATGGGAAAAATGACAGAAAATCTTTATTTAAACGACTACTTTTTTTTTCTTCTTCCTATTCTGTACCGAACGGCATCGTTTAATCGAGAAATAAACGTTTGGTATATGGACATATTGGTTTAATTATATTATGTCATGTGTTCATGCTGCATGTTTCATTGATTCTCTAGAATTCACAGATGGCATCTTTTGGTGCTTATTTCACGTGTGTAATTTAAAAGTAGATATATCAGCAGAGGCACAGAGTAAGATGTGATGCAATTTATGTTGAAACCATGTATATATAAAACGGGAAAAACAAAATATAGAAGCTAATAGTGAAATTAAAGTAGATATTTAAATTGTTACGTATTTGTTGGATGGTCATACTCGAATGCCAGCTATTTAATTTCTAAAGAGTGAGTTTCCTTGGCGTGAGGATTTCAGTTAGTAGAAAAGGGCGCGAATAAGAGGATGTCTTCGTCGTATAAGCAAGAAATATAAAGAAAAAGACATGCACTTTCTTCTATTTAATTAATTTATTCTAGACCTTTCATTTTCTGCATGATGCGCAAGACCACTCATGTACATATTATTGCTCTGGAATTTCATTTAAAACTTTGAACCCTTTATAATATATAGATGTGACATTGACGTGTATTGGTCCCATGTCATGATTGCTTCAACTCGTGGCATCTTCCTGGTGTTGGTATAGCCCAATCATCACTACTTAATTGCTTGTATTCGAATACGAATTTGCGATTCTTCTTTTACCATTTCAAAACCATAATTAAGGTATTTTTGCCTCATTGAAATTCATGATTGATGTCGTCGAGTATACTATGGTTTATATATGTTGAAAGAGAGTGCAAGGTTACTAACCCTATTACAAAGTTTAAGTATCGTCGCTGTGGTTAATTTAATGAGATGCATGTGTTAGCTGGGTTTGATCCATCCTGAATCGAGTAAGGTTTCACTGCATCATTTATTTCTGTGTTCTCGAACTCATAATCGATGCATGTGTGAGAGAGGGGATTCCAAGATATTAAGCTATTCAATTCATTGAGCATGCATACTTGGATCTCACTCAACTCTTGCTATTGCCAACATCATATCTAGACTAATAATATTATTTTTATTTTATCAATGCTGATTGGGCGACCACATTTTTCAGTCTACTGTATAAAAGCTTGATTTGGATCTTAACTTTTCCTTTTTAAATAAAAGAAACTGTAGGGAAGTACATTTATTTTTAAGACCGCATATTCTCAAAGAAAGTAATTTAATTCTAATTCAACCTTTTAAAATTATAGGATTATACTCCCTTTTATATATATATATATATATATATATTATATTTAAGTTATATTATTATTTTATGTAAACTTGTAGCACATCATTTTTTTAATTAATTTGATTCATCTTATTTATATAAGATTTTAGATATTATCATCACTAATTCTATTATAAGAAGGTGAATTTCACATCAATTTCAAAATTAATGTAGAAGATACATAAAACTATACCAATTCTTATACAAATTGATGTATAATATTGAACACTTTCTACATTAATTTATGAAAGAATCCATATAATTTTTTTTTAAATAATTTTTTCTCTCTTATGATTATTATTTTTTTTTGCTAGGCAAAATGAAATATATTAAAAGCAAGTACAAGGGTACTCCAACCCATATACAGTTAACTTAATAAAGATTATTGTTTATATCCAACTTATAATAAATAAAAAATTAATGTCAAAGTCACACATCCATCAACATTATAAATTAATCAACACATATATCAACATATTACATAACAAATTCTAACAATACTAAATTTACAATTCTATCAGATAATAAATATGTCAAAGTCATAAAGGTGAATATACCTACTCCAAAGTGTAAACAAAATTTGTTTATTAACTTAAATTAACTCTATATATATATATATATATATATATATATATATATATATTTGTAGTTTGATCCTTATTAAAACTAGTACACTATTGATCAACATTCCCAGAAATATGTTAGAATCCACCATATGCACTTCAGCATTCAAGTTAAAAGTTACAGCACACTTTGGTAAGGCCACAATAATTATTTGAAATCAAATTGATTAATTCATAAGTTCTGCAACCAAAACTATATTACCTTTACCCAATACTCCCACAATAAACATAATGTAGAGATGAAGATGAAGCCAATTCACACACATAAAATAGGTAAAAAAAAAATAACCAAAAACTTAACCCTATAATAATAAAATCAATGGAGTGATAAGGGTGGTCCAAGTGGTTTGGGGAGAGGGATATAGGGTTGAGTGACTAAGAGGGTGTGGGTTCGAATCTCCCCACTAACAACTAACAAACTAACCATTAACATTTGCCGTTAAAAAAAATAAATAATAATAATAATAATAAAATCAATAATGAAATGCTTATAAGTTAATGTTCGACACACACCACAACTGTAATATCTATCATTCCATAAAAATAGTTGTAATATCTAACAGATATTTAATCATCTTATATATCTATAAAAATGGTTTATTTAGGGACCGGTGAATCAAATTTGGAGGTTCTATTGAAATTCATATGCCTAATAACTACAAACATGGTTATACAGACATACGCATAATGAAATTACCGTAGGACTTCTCTTTCTGTATCAAATGACTTCACATCAACACCAACGATACGAGACATGATTTAAGAGGGTCATCACATTACGAATTAATGGTTGGTCCTCTCCTTGTAAAGTAACCAAATTAGCAATCTGAAAGAGACAGAAAATTTAGTTAAAAAATAATGACATTGTGCATGAATTTGCATAAGTTATTCATAAGTAACCTAACACGAGCTACAATTATGTTGCCATATAGTGCAGGGCCACTGAATGCCTCTATAACAAAATGTTTCATTCTTATGAATTTATACTTCCGTACGTGTAATATAATCCCAGTATGCCACAGCTAGGTTTTGGTGACTGGTTTCTCCCACCACACAAATTTTATCGCTAAAGTTACAAGGTTATAGTTTGTGACATGGATATATATTTGCTACCACCAGTAGTATTGATCAATATACCAACACTATGTATGCTTATCACTATCAACTCTGTAAAAATATTAGGAAAAGAGAAATTAGAAGTTGCTAAAGTTTGGAAGCTATAAAAAAAGAGAGAGAGAGAAAGTATTAGTGTCGCACCTTTATATAATTAATTGAACAAAAACACTAATAAATATTATGATTGACTATTATATATTAATTTTGGATAATATTATAATTATTGTTTCAATCAACGGATAATATAAGAACTAAAATCATGTTAATTTTAATATAATGTGCCTAAAATTAATTGTAATTATTGCATTTTAATTCTTTAATAACATTTTCTTTTTTATATTTATTAAAATATTATTATATATTAAATAAAAAGGTTATTTTACAACATTATTTTGAAAAATATTATTATAGATGGAGTAATATTTTTTTTTATTTCAATATTATTATTTTCATTTTTTTCAAAATCAAAATTTCATAGAGTAAAAAAATGTCACATAGGTTATTTTATAACATTTTTTGAAAAATGTTACTACAAATAAGTAACATTTTTTTATTTCAACATTATTTTTTCTAATTGCTTCTAAAATTAAAGTTCCACATCAAATAAAAAAATATTTATCTCATCTTTAATTGTTATCCATAATTAAAATCTTATATCAAATAAATAAATGGCTCATAAAGAACATATATAATCATATAGTTATACTTAAGATAAATAAATTTTGATAAAGAGCAGTAACTAAGAATGTCTTCAACTTTCTATTAAAGAATTCTTAGGAGTTTAAGAGACATAAAAATATAATAATTGATAAAAATATCTAAATTAAAATTAATTATCATTTTATAAAGTTAACAAAAATTTGGCTACATCATTAAAATGTTACAAAAATACAATTTTGATAACATTTGAAAAATATTGTCTAATTGTATAAAAATGCTATTAAAAATCTTTAATAATATGAATTATATATATACAATATTTGATAATATGTTACAAAAATAAATTGACATTTATACACAACTAAGTAACATTTTTTAAATATTGTTAAAAGTTGTGTGTTATACATTATAACTAAATCTATAATTTACTATTAAATCATGCAGAAACATACTAAGAATAATGACAGATGTTTTTCCATCTCCTACTTCTGCGTCTTGGGTGCGGCTTAATTCAATCGTAGATTGTATACATTCCTCTAAAGAGCATTAAATATCAGAATGTATAATTATGTATGAAAAAGCAATGTCAATGAAATGAAGTATAAGATACAAATATTACTAAAAAATATCTTATTACACATGATTTTTTTTATGTAGATTTTGCATAAAAATTCATACGAAATATTATTCCGATGAATATTTTTGCAAAATTTTTAACTTTGCAAAAAATTATCCTATGGAAACTTTTCTACAATTTTTTCCATAATAAATTATGCAGAAAAATTTCTTACAAAAAATAAATTCAAAGAAATTAATTAGAAAGTTTCTTGCAAGTTTAAAATCCAAAAGTAATTTTAGAAGATATCCTGTCATACTATCACCACTATTATATTTCAAATACTCATAATAAATTCATTCAAAATATCATAAACTTGTTTTCATATCTCTTACATGTGATTTATGACCTTTTGAACCTTAGGATAGGGATTTTATTTTATGTTTAACTCAACTCTATTTAAAATCAATTTATAAGATGAGTATTGTCCTCACTTATATATTATTTTATTATCTTATTTCTAATCAATGTGAAACTTGAGATTTTCCTTATTAAATATTCATTAGATCATGTCTCCAGAAAGAAAATTAATTCAATATTGAACTACAAAATTATATTATTATAAATTATATTAACTCATAAGATATTCAATATTCTAAAAAAAGTAGTTTTTATTAAATAATTTTATTTTAAAAATTATGATTAAATTAAACTCATTATCATTAATTCATACAATTAATTAAAATGATGTTTAATTTATTAATATTTTAAATTAAAATTAACTTTTATGAAATATTTATAAATAATTTAGTAAAATAATATTTTTTAAGTAAATACTTTTAATTTTAAAACAATTTTATATATTTAATTTAAATAAATTTAATATTAAAATTAATTATAATGATATATTTATAAATAATTTAGTAAAATCATATTTTTTAATTAAAAAACTTTTAATTATTAAACTTATAAATTTAAACATTTTTTTTTATTTTTTCTATGGATTAAAATTAATAGAAAAATTTGCAAGAAATATTACTTGTGAAATTTTTCTACTATTTATTATAATACTAAGTATTACCTGCGAATTTATTTTCGCAAAAAAAATATATAAGAAACAAAAGAAAATTTTTATGACATTTTTTGTAAATTTTTATCATGAAATTTTTTTTATCTTAGCAAAATTTGGAAGAAAAAAAAAAAGAAATTTCTTGTGAATTATTTTTCATAAAAAAATTTGTATGAAATTTCTACAAACTATTTTTCATAAGTAAATTCGCAAAAATTTTCGTGGAATCATTATTGTAGGAAAACTCACAAAATAATTCTTACAAATATTTTTTTGGGAAAGTTCGTAAGAAAAATAACACTTTTCAATGTTAAAATATATGTTAACTACCATGATTTTAGATAAATATTTATATTTTTAGAAGTGTTTTTTTTTTAAATTATTGAAAATAAAAAATATTTTTCAGTAAAAAAAATAAAAACAATTCTAACCTTGTATCTAAATATACTTATAATTTCAACACCAAAAAAAATATACTTATAATTTGTTTAAAAAATAAACTAATAATGAAGGAACAGTTCTTCCGTTGCACCAGGATCAAAACGGACTTAATGATAGATGGGCTGGATTTGTATCCTCTAAAATGCAAAAGTTCCGAGGTTTTTTTTTTTTTTTGGTAAAGTACGATAACCAACAAACCAAAAGTTCCAAAGTGTTATTGGGTTCATGATATATACACCTCCTTTTTTTTATAAGTACATCTCCTTTTAAAAAAAAATAATTAATTTTAAAATATTTTTAATTTTACATCCACAACATTTAATTTAGTACTTTTTTTTCATACTTCTTTTCTCCTTTTTTTAATTTTTACATGTACCCCCTTATTTTTCCTTTACCCCACCTATTTTGGTAACATGTGAAAATTGAAAGAGAAAAGAAAAAGTGTGTGAATAAGAAGAAGAAAGTAACAAACTGAAAGTTGAAAGTGTAGAATTAAATATTTTTAAAAAAAATTATAATATTTTATAATTTTTTAAAAAAAGAAGGTGTACTTATAAAAAAAAGGAAGTGTATATATCATGAGCCGTGTTATTCCTTTCATTATGGCCCAATACAAAAAATAAAAATAAAAGAAAGGTAAACTTGAATGATTTATAGGATCATACATTTTCAGAAAAATAAAAACTAGAAAATATTTTTTATATAAATAAAATTATAAAGTAATTATAAAAAAAAAATTATTCATTTGAGTGTTTGTAAATGAATCTAAGGCGTGATTTTTTTACATTTGAGTAAATACTACGGGTTGTAGGGATTTTCACATAGACAGTATATTTGTAGGTTATAAAACATATTGTTAATTGGACAGCAAAAGAAATTGAGATGTTATTTTTGTTCATGTGTACAGGGAGGTCAATATGGTGGCTGCCATTTGCCATTGGGAACTCGTGTGTCAGAGTCTCCCCGTGCCAGCTATTTTTGTTCATTTGGCTCTCTTACTGAATTCGAATGGAATGTCAAAAGAGAAAATCAAAAGCAAACTTGTATATGAAACCAATTCAATCTCCCTTCTTGAGCCATAATAAAGTCTTTTATATATGGTATACAACATTGTAAAGAAAAGCAAAAAGACACCAAAAAATAAAGGGAGGTAGAAGACAAAAAGTAGAAAGATGAAATCATTTTTAAAGATATATAAAAAAGAAAAAGAAACACTAAAGTACAGGGCATTGACGTCAACTACACTAGCTAGGAAGCCGACCACGGAATCAAAATTCAAAACATGTTCTAACAACTTATTATAGAGATATCTGATTAACACAATTAAATTGCAGGCTTATGTGTATGACCCTTAATATATATAGTTAATCAGTTAACCCTTCTACAATTCTTCCTGACTTCTCCGTTTGAGCCGGTGAGAGGACTAATGTCTCCCATCTTGATCATGGCGGATGCAAAATCAGAAGAAAAGGAGCTCTGGTCAGTGCTGTAGCCACGCACTATGGAGTCGGTGGACCCACCATTGTATAGTTGTTGATCAGAGTGAAGGAGACCCTTCTTCTGAACCAGGTTCCTGAAGTAGTAGTTGTCAAATGTGGTCGGAGTCTGAAGATCAAGTGGTGCCAGATTGTTGTCCCCTGACCCTGATGACTGGGGGCAGCTTGATTTCCTAGTGCTTGCAAATGAGCTATCTATGTTGCTCTCGTTGTAGATACGTGCTCTGAAGTTTGTGCATCTTGCTTGCCCAATTGTGTGACCACCTAATCAAAATAATTAATCAAAACAAATATCGCCAAAAAGTTTCAAATCTCACATCTTCTAACCATTATTGTTAGACCCATCATGTTACCAAAAGAAATTTTACTATATGATTGAAATTTAATTACCAGACAAGGCGACCAAGTCCTTGGTGGAAAGTCCGAGAGCACTGAATCTGGAGATGAGTTGGTTAAGGTTTGAAGTGGGTGCAGGGATGCCATTGTTAGCAGCAGATTGGCTAGCTGTCTTCGCGTCTCTTCTTCCAAGTTTAACATTCCAAGTAGGGCCTCCAAGCTAATATCACCAGAGTCAACAAAATATAAATACATATTTATTTTGTCTCCTATGACCTATCTATTTATTTATGTATTATCTTTACTTGCATATGTGGCAATTAGTTTAGTCATTAGTGCTTTAATGTTTAATGTGGTTTTTTATTTTATTTTTTGGTTGTTTGAGCACTTACGATCTCAACGGAGTCTCTAGCAGTGATGGCAAGGATATCTGCGCAGGAGACAACTCCAGGGCACACTTTCTCCACGGCAGATTTGATGTTGTCGATGACATCGAATCCACGAGCAGAGTTTCTGTTGGGGTTTGCGTTCTTCTCACCGGTGAAGCTTGATGTGTCATCCAATAGAATTGAACCATCACATCCCTGCATGCATTTGTAATCTTTACTAATCGAGCAGAAAATGTGTCGGCTATAAGTAAATAAGATGAAAATATTAATCCTCACCAAGTTTTTAACTTAATTTTTTTATAAAATGATCATTTTTAACGTTTTTTTTGCACCATCATGCATTTTTAAAAAGCAAATCTAGTTGATGCATGCACGGGGTAGAAGCTATGCTTAGTATATGTATTTATATAAAGTGTGAGAAGGTGCGAATAGATTACATTGACAAAGCAATCATGGAAGAACAATCGGAGGAGAGAAGCACCCATGCGAGCCTCCTTTGATATGGCAGATTGCACTGTGGATTTGACAGTGGAGAGGAGTTTTGGACAAGAACTTGAGTAGAAGTTTGTAGAAAGTTGTGCATTGGCAGTCCCCAATATGAGGACAAACAGAGCAAAAGAGATGGTTAATCTAGAACAAAGAAAAGCCATAGCTCAAACACGTACACTAACTCACTTCAAGTGTTTGTTTGTGTATACCTGAGAGGGTTTGATTTATTGGTTAATGGGAGCTCCCTATTTATAATGGATAGGGTTCTAAGTTGAATGTGTCTCATCAAGGCAATTTGGCTCGGCAGGTAGCCTAACCTAACACGTAGAATATGAACTAGTCTTGAGTGCATGGGAAAATTCGAGTTTTCAAAAAAGTACTATATACTCATTTATGATTATGAGGAATTAGAAAAAGGGGTTTATCATTTATGGGTGAGAGATTCGATTTATTAAATTCAAAGATAAAGAAGTGAAAAGCCGCGTCATTGGCACCATTTGTCAAAGTGTTTACAATTGTTTGGTAAACTATTTTCTTCTTCAGGGGCCCCATCGGATAACGCTTTGATGTGGGACATTTTTATTTTATTTTCGTGCAATCCAAACGACACGACGCGACAGAACAAAGGCAAATGCAATTTTTGACTGCTTAGTTAGATTAAATATTCGAAAAACCAAAACAAACATAAATAATGGATATCTAAGTGATGCGTAATTGACACCGATTTTAACAGGAAAAGTACAGCTGAGAATATTTGGTAAGGTTACTTTTGCAAGTTCAGTCAACCAAAATAATAATAAGTTTTGTAATTTCATTATCTTATTGTTATCTCTCTGCTTGCAAAGCTTGTAGGTCTCAACGCGGGTTTTACGTGGTCGTGTGAATGCCACAAGACGAACCCTCTAAGTTTTGATGGCTCATTTTTTCTACCTTTGCTGGCTGAATGTTGCCTACAGCAATCATATAGTTACGTTCAAGAGAAGTAAGAAACTAAGAAACTTCTTCGCTCTCGGTAAGATTAATTAGCTCTAAGTTTTCTTTAAAAAATGTTAAACTATATATATATATATATATATATAACTAAATAAAAATCACTTGGTCACAATTTTCAAATTGAAATATTTGTTTTGTTCTTGTTTGGAGAGATCATTCATGATTGGCTTGGTCATTGTATTGGATGATTGGTTCTGTAGGTTCACGAGTTAATACAACATCCTTGCATGCAAAATTGTTTGGTATTTATAATGGTTCGAAGATTCACGAACATTTAACATCTTACATTTGTTCTAGGACTGTTGTTTAGAATTATATATGTGTCATTTTATTACATCAAACATTTACATCGCGTTCCGTCAACCTCTATGATCCCAAACTCCTTTTAAGCATTATGTCTTGCCGTGATTAGAATGACCAACAACATTTGTAGTCGTGAGCATTCTCCTACAATCGAACCTTTAACTCAACAATAAATAAGGTAAAATAATAATAACAATAACAAAATAATCCAAAGATTGCCATAGTTGTATACAAGTCTCTCGTGCGTGTTGGTTTTTCTTCCACTATCATCGTTCTTTCTAGCACAAATTTCTCCCTCTGTCACTTGAACCACTATGACACACTGCTCTCCATCAACAACTATCGTCGAATTTTGGGAATGAAAGTCAAGAGTGCAAGAGAATTTAGGTTTGTTATTTGATGGGTGCGAAGGTGAAAATGAAACAAGTTTTAAAAGTCATTTTACGTATCAAATCTAATTGAAACTAATGTAATTTTTTTTTACATCGATTTTAAACTTTTGATTTAAAACCGAGGAAAAAAGTTATTTTAAATTCTATAAATGTTAATAATGTATTACTTTTTATCACTACAACAAAATTTATTATTATGATAATTATTTAACGATAATAAATTAATTGTCTCTATTTTATTATCTAATAAAATATTAATGATTAATATATAATGGTCACTAAAAATGTATTTACATCATACCAAAATTTATTATTATTAACACAATTATTTATTAGAAAAAACTTAAATCTCACGTCGATTAGTGATAAGATAATTAAAGAGTATATAAGTGGATAATAACTTTCACCTTACAAGTTTGTTTTGTAAGGTTAAGTTAGACTTATAACTTACTATTCTAAATGATTATCAGATTATTCACTATTATCAAACTCAATAGTGTTAAACTTGAAGAGGTGTATTGAAAAAAAATCCAAATCTCACATCAACTATTAATAAAATAATTAATTAGGAGATAAAATAATTAAAAATTAAGAAAATTAAAGAATATATAAGTAGATGACAACTCTCATCTTAAAAAAGATTTTGCAGCAATTTTTATTGTCACTAAAATTTATATTAAATGTCCTTAAAGTCCATTTTATTGTAGTATTTATCGGATAAACAACTATTGTAGAACGTTATTGTGAAAGAATATATGTTTGCACTTGTGATTGATTGAAAAAATGGTATTAAGAAGTTAATTATAAGTTTGATTCTTAGTTAAAAATTAATCTCATTTTGTCATATTCTTTTACTTCTGTTAAAGATTTTACATCCACTAGTATAATATGCTTAAATTAGTGTATTTAAGTTTGAAAAATTTTCTCACTACATAAGTTAATTTTATAATATTAAATTAGATTTTTAACTCATCTTTTTAAGATGATATTAGAATCTATTTTAGTGAATATTAATTTTATCATACCATTTACAATTGTAGAATCCTACAAATATCACTAACTCTCATAATTTTCTTATTCAGAAAAATCAACACGAGGTATTAAATTTCAACATGTTTAACGTAAAGAGAATATGTGTATGAATTGACTTGCTAAGCAAGGTACCTCAAATCAAAAGGCTTTGAAGATATTAGTTTCATACTCAACATTTCTTTTTTTCTATTGTTGGAATAAAATTATTTATAAATATAAACTTAGCAAGTGAAACAAGGCTAACTCGGTACTTGTCAAATGTTTGATTTCAAAACTTACTGGTAAAAACATAAATGCCCTTCATGTAATTTTTTTTCCTCTCAAATACTTCGTTAATGATTGATCGTTGTGCTTTTTTTTGTTTTTTTTTTCACAGGATGATTATTTAATCGTTGTTATTTTTACAGCAAGATAACTAATAGTCGCTGTCTTTTGCCCAAAACTCAGTAAACATTATTAATAAAATAGCGTTGACTGGTAGATTTAGATGCTAATCGCTTTTGCTTAGTATCTAAGATTGCATCTTGCTTTCTCCATCGTTACCACCTTCTTCTTCTTCCTTTTAAAAAACTCAACCTCGATTGGAACAAGGGTTAGAAAAAAACTATAAAAAAAAAAAAAACTAATTGAGTTAACTAAGAGAATGTTTGGATGGGAATTTTAATGAAGTATGTAATTCAATTTTTTTAAGAATTTTAAATATTTTGTTTAGATAAAACTTTATAATAAAATCAAAATTTAAGTATATGTGAAATTCTTTCAAATTATTGAATTTTAAATTCTTCTAAAAAAGTGAGAATTTTTTTTAAAAAAATTATCCTACCTTCCTCAACTTTCTTTCAAGTGCACATAAAAAGTGTCAATACTTTTTCTTTAATTATGAAATATTTAAAGTTATTAAATATTACTTAATATTAACTTTAAATGATTAGATACTTAAAAATCGACTAATATTAAATTTTATAAAAATTATTTTACGTAGTAGAAATAAAATTATCCTATCCAAACTAAAAATTTAAAATTTTTTAAAAATTAAATTGACTTATCAAAATAAAATATTTAAAAAAATAATAGGGATTAAAATTAAAGTAATTCAAATTATAAGAATTTTAAATTTCTAAATTTTTTTGGTCAAACTCATTATAAAATTTAAATTAACCTCTATTAATATATTAATAATATTTTATTACAAAATAATAATAATAATGATAACGTTAATATTTATCTAATATAAATTAAAATATGAGTAAATTAAACTATTCTTTCGATATAAATTTCAACTTAGTCTTTTTTAATACAAATAAACATCTTAACAATGATAAATAATTTTGAAAGTATCTTTTAAGAATATCTTTTTTTCTCCAACTTTGATTATCAAGAACAATTAATTTTGAATGTGTTATTATTGATTTCAGTATGACATTAGATAGAAAAATAAAAACATAAACACTTTTATTTCTGGCTTTAAAAAATTGTCTAAAAATTTTATTTCATCCTCAGCAACAACAAAAAAAATCTACTTTAAAAAAACATTTTTATTTTATTTTTCTTGAAAACGCCATATGAGTTGAGAAATAGTGTAGGAATTAGGGATGGCAATAGGGCGTGGCGGGTACGGGTTTCATGATACCCGTCCCCGTCCCTGCGAGCTAAACTCATCCTCGTCCCCGTACTCGTACCTGTCGAGTATGTAATTTTCATCTCCATCCCCGTCCCCGTTGGGTATCGGCTATATCCGTACCCGTCAAATTTTTTATTTTTTACTTTTTTTTTAAAATATAATATTTTTAAATTATTTTTTTAATTATATTATAATTAGGTTATTTCTCTATCTTATATTATAATAAATAAGCACACATAAAAAAAATACTAAAATTCTTTAATATAATTAAATTAAAAGTGAATATTAAATTAAAAATGAAAATGGGGACGGGTACGGGTATGGGTACGGGGCGGGTAAGTACATATCCGTACCTGTACCCGTACCCAATTTAATATATCGGATTTTACCTATACCTGGTCAAATTAGGTATTTCCCGTCAAAGTCGGGACGAGTTCGTACGGGTATATTTGCCATCCTTGATAGGAATGTAAAAATTTGGATTTTCCATGGGGCGTTGACTTAATTAGGTTTTAGTCCGCCCCGCCCGGTTGCCATGCCTAATAGGAACACAATTGTGATCGTCAATGATTTAATAGGAAACAACATAGTCACGAGACATGCAATCCACTCTGTCTAGTCAAATATTATTTTTTTTCTATAAGGTAGCTCCATTCTCACGAAGACTCGTTTATATTTCTTTTTCTTTTGTGTATTTTTTATTATTAATATTTTAGCGTGTACATTGTATAAATTTTTTTACTTTTATATATTTAAATTTTATAATAAAAAAATATTTTTGAATGTGAAATGTATATTATAAATAAATTATAATAAAAATATTTTTAAATATATAAATTATATTTTGATTAATAATAAATAATTTAAATCATAGTAAGAAATAATTTAAATCGTAGTAA